TCATATCACCTTGACCAGAAGTGGGATAATGCCTTTAAAATCTACAATTAATGGAATCTTAAGATTTCTTGTCGGTTGATGATAGTAAACAACATTTAAAACCTATGAACAAAGGTCTAAATGTAATGGGTCAGTATTTCTAATTTTAAGAGATTTTTGACTATATTATGACTCATATCACCTTGACCAGAAGTGGGATAATGCCTTTAAATCTACAATTAATGGAATCTTAAGATTTCTTGTTGGCTGCAGAAAGTAAATAACATTTCACACTTGTGAGCAGAATGTGAATGCAATGGGTCAATATTTCTAATTTTAAGAGATTTTTGACTATTTTATGACTCATATCACCTTGACCAGAAGTGGGATAATGCCTTTAAAATCTACAATTAATGGAATCTTAAGATTTCTTGTCAGTTGATGATAGTAAACAACATTTAAAACCTATGAACAAAGGTCTAAATGTAATGGGTCAGTATTTCTAATTTTAAGAGATTTTTGACTATATTATGACTCATATCACCTTGACCAGAAGTGGGATAATGCCTTTAAAATCTACAATTAATGGAATCTTAAGATTTCTTGTTGGCTGCAGAAAGTAAATAACATTTCACACTTGTGAGCAGAATGTGAATGCAATGGGTCAATATTTCTAATTTTAAGAGATTTTTGACTATTTTATGACTCATATCACCTTGACCAGAAGTGGGATAATGCCTTTAAAATCTACAATTAATGGAATCTTAAGATTTCTTGTCGGTTGAATATAGTAAACAACATTTAAAACCTATGAACAAAGGTCTAAATGTAATGGGTCAGTATTTCTAATTTTAAGAGATTTTTTACTATATTATGACTCATATGACCTTGACCAGAAATGGGATAATGCCTTTAAAATCTACAATTAATGGAATCTTAAGATTTCTTGTTAGCTGCAGAATGTAAATAACATTTCACACTTGTGAGCAGAATCTTAATGTAATGGGTCAATATTTCTAATTTTAAGAGATTTTTGACTATTTTATGACTCATATCACCTTGACCAGAAGTGGGATAATGCCTTTAAAATCTACAATTAATGGAATCTTAAGATTTCTTGTCGGTTGATGATAGTAAATAACATTTCACACTTGTGGACAGAATCTTAATGTAATGGGTAAATATTTCTAATTTTAAGAGATTTTTGACTATATTATGACTCATATCACCTTGACCAGAAGTGGGATAATGCCTTTAAAATCTACAATTAATGGAATCTTAAGATTTCTTGTCGGTTGATGATAGTAAATAATATTTTGCTCTTGTGGACAGAATCTTAATGTAATGGGTCAATATTTCTAATTTTAAGAGATTTTTTACTGTATTATAACTTGTATCACCTTGACCAGGAGTGGGATAATGCCTTTAAAATCTACAATTAATGGAATCTTAAGATTTCTTGTCGGTTGATGATAGTAAATAACATTTAAAACCTATGAACAAAGGTCTAAATGTAATGGGTCAGTATTTCTAATTTTAAGAGATTTTTGACTATATCATGACTCATATCACCTTGACCAGAAGTGGGATAATGCCTTTAAAATCTACAATTAATGGAATCTAAAGATTTCTTCTCGGTTGATGATAGTAAATAATATTTCACACTTGTGGACAGAATCTTAATGTAATAGGCCAATATTTCTAACTTTAAGAGATTTTTGACTATTTTATGACTCATATCACCTTGACCAGAAGTGGGATAATGCCTTTAAAATCTACAATTAATGGAATCTTAAGATTTCTTGTCAGTTGATGATAGTAAATAACATTTCACACTTGTGAGCAGAATCTTTATGTAATGGGTCAGTATTTCTAATTTTAAGGGATTTTTTACTATATCATGACTCATATCACCTTGACCAGAAATGGGATAGCCCTTTCACATGTACAAATAATGGAATACTTGTAGCTGATTTTTATTAATTATCGATTAGATATTTACCCTTGTATTACTGTAATTAAGCCGTGCAGAAGAGGCATAACACCTTTAAAAATTATTAACTGTTGAATATTTATAATTAATTTTAGCTTTTGAAAGTGATTAGGACCACAAACGTAGCAAATATTGAGGGAGGTCATGATTGGTACTTTTATAGGGAATATTATACCAGTAAGTGTGTTACACAAGGAGTGTCAGAATTCAGAAATTCTTGTATTTACCCAGTGAGGGTGAAGGTAATACATGGATTCTTACATGAGTTTTGTAAAACAGAATATGTACTGTGTTTATCCACGTTTATCCATGTAATGCCAATCGCCAAGCACGGGTACTATCTTATTCCGTGTATTTTACCTTCCGCTGTCAGGGGTGCGATTGGTTAGCCTATTGGTCAAAGCGTTCGCTCGTCACGTCGAAGGCCCGGGTTCGATTCCCATCATGTGTTCAATGAGTAAACCCTATTTCTGGTGTCCCGTGCCACGATACTCCAGGAATGCTGCTAAAAGCAGTGTATATACATATTTACCCGCTTACTCACTTCTGCAGACGTCTATCCACTAGACCACTCAGGCAGCTGATTTCGTGTAGAAGGGGTCCCCAGCAACACATGCTTAATTTTAATTGTCTTACTAGGTGACTTCATGGATCGGAGGTTCAACGTCCTCCGACGTGCTTGATGTTTGCTTATAATATCCATCACTATTTTGCTCTCTGCCCATGTGGACCAACATTTTACTGCAAGAACCAGTAACAGCAAAGCTGACCATGCAGGTAATATTCCCATGATCGGATGGGGAGTCCGGCTTAGAATCGTATAATGAGAGGCGACTAACGAGCCTCGGGTAGTCAGGTTCGTTATTTGGTTGATTGCCAGACATCGTACATGTCGGCCTGGGACGTTGTTCATACTTAAACCAATCGTTTATCTACATGTATTTATATCGGGGTACATGACACACAATTAACGAAGTCACTATACAAGCATGCCCACCCGGTCCATGGATTGTGGTGCCCGTGAAGACCCGGGGTAGAATAGGTCTTTTCAGCAATCCATGCTTGCCCTAAAAGGCGACTATGCTTCTCGTAAAAGGCAACTAACGGGATCGGGTGGTCTGGCTCACTGACTTGGTTGATGCATGTCATCGTATCCCAAATGCATGGATCGATGCTCATGATGTCTATCACTGGATTGTCTGTGTTGTCTGGTCCAGACTCGATTATTTACAGACCGCCGTCATATAGCTGGAATATTGCTCAGTGCGGCGTTAAACAACCAACCAACCAACCATCGATTGTCGCCTAACGTGCCAAGCGAAGCGGTGGGTATATTTTAAGCAATGCCCAACATAGACATACACAATGCACTGTCCATGGATCCTCGTGATTTTAGGCTAGATATATAAATATATTATTTCGACTTGCTTCAATATATCTTTCCTTTATTTCAAATTGAAGCTGCCTGGTTCCTAAAACACTATGGAGTAACTATATACTCCTTTCTGTTAGGTCTGGTTTACCGGTGCATGTATGCATGCATGCATGAGGAGTCATATCCGTCTTACCGCTTATATCTGTTAGTTATACATTTATATTTATACATTTATTATAAATTTGCACACCAAACTTCTGAGCTTGCATTACCTGCATCATGTATATGTGATAGGGTTAAGTTAAGGAGGTATTTGAGGTTACCACTAACTTGTATATGTGGGTAGAAAGCCATTCTGAAACAATCGTCAATATCCAGCTTAGATACTTCTTAGCATGTTTCAAAGCTTACATTGGTCTGCATCTACAGCATTCTGAAGTATGTATAATATAATACATCCGATACAAACCCTCTATCGTTATCTATCGTTCTGAGTGATGTATAGTTTACATCCGATATACATACTCCCCCGCGTCTTTCATTTATAATGATGTCTGATATACAACACCCCGCGTTTCATTCTGAGTAATGTATATTTTATGTCCAATGTACCTGTTTACTTCCCCGTAACTTTGTAAAGAAGAATTATAAAACACTTTCATCTTGTGTAATTTTCGCCTCAATCTTCTGGCAAACCATATACAATTAACCCATCGAACTAATTAAAAGAAGTGGAAAGAGCTTGTCTAAATACAGAGGCAAGTGAAATAATTGTTTTGAAATTATATAAATATGATTTCTCACATCTACTCATGTGTGAATTACAAGGATTCCCTTCAGCACAGTTACATTAAATAAATTAATGAGGATACATGTTTTGCATTTCTATTCACATCGTGGGATTGGAGGAGACCGCACGTTAAATTGGCCCACAAACAACAGAATACGGAAAATTGTTTACAGTTACAAACAAAACAAAATCTAAATGGAATGCATAATGTGTCGGGGCTCTTTTATTCTACGGCCACAATCCGAAATATTTCAGAAACCCCTCGAGTTAACGCTTTTACTTTTGTAATATGGCCGATTCCATTACATTCTATACACTATTGTGACCACAATGTGATGTAGAAACACATCCTTGATTTCAATTATTGATCTAATTATAACATAATTTGTTAAAAGAAATATCGCACAGACACTGTGAAATTTGTGCATAAATGTGAATTGCCGCACAGAAAGGCGTGTGAATATTTGTCAAGTACAAAATAACAAAATAATAATAATAACTAAAGATGTTTCCAATTTATAGTGAAGAATTTAATGTGCGTTATTTATTTGGAATGGGACATGGAAATATACAAAAGATCATATTCAGTACGGTCCCCCCCCAAAATATAAACTAAATCATATTCCGGATATATATCGCCATGTGTTTTAGAGCTAACCGAAAGCATTACCGCAGTAAATGGGGTTTTGCGAAATTGTGGACTGTTTATCCCAGTTCTGGTCGTATCCCAGTTCTGGTCGCTACAAACGTATGTTTTCCATGTAAATCTAAAATGATATTGTTTGTTATTAATTGTCCGGTGAATTAAACAATTTAAATTGAAACAATTCATAATTCATCCTATTATGAATACGTAAACTTGTAATGTGTGTGAAAAGTCGTACTAAAATACGCTATTTGAAGGGGGCGTGGCCTAAATGCAAATGTCCGATTGGGATTATAAATTTTCCGGACCCCTGGTCATAACTGTTATTAGAATACAAGGTATTACAATTATTTCACTGTTTATCAAGGTATCAAACTGCAGCATGTATTGGAATGATCATTTGAACATGGTATTGTTGTACAAATTGATATGTCTGTCATGGGAACAGGCCAGAAACATTGACTCAGTTTCTGTATAGGAGGTATGCACACTTTTGTACAGCGTGAATAATTGACATGTCAAGACTACAAGAGTAAACATTACGGAGGTATCTCTCAGCGAGAAGTATGATTCGTGGTTATATTAAAAAAAATACACACTCACAACCATTGTTTCAATTGTAACAGTATCTGCATGTCTCCACTGATCTAGTTTATGATAAAATAATATTCCAACAATGTAACTATTACTTTGAAAATAGTAATAATGAAAAATATTAATAACATTACCACTGTAGATATGCAAAACATTTTTTATGCCTTTCAGCCCAACCATTTTGTCACCACCATAATTGTTTGTTAAACTCTAAACAATGAAAAATATGTTCTGATTGTGTCAACTTAGTACTTCTTGTTCCTTGAAAACAATAACAAATGTTTCAGGAAGTCAGTACTGGTTTTGTTTACATGATATGATTGTTTCTATTACATATTATGTATTTAAACTCAAATGTGTCCTTTTCTCCTTCCTGATTCTGAAGGTACCACTGAATCTTCTTCGTTACATATGTACGATTTATGACAGTACATGTACTTGCATCAATAAGTAGGTATGCGACAAAATCTCTTCATGCTGTGTTGATCAAAGTTAACTTGTATCCACATTTGTGAAATACTTAGTCCATGAAGTATAAAAATAATTACAAATGACAGTACTTCACATTATTGTTATCATGGTTGTAAATCAGGCAAATAAACACTGCGGTAATCTCAAATTGGTGTTTTTTAGTTATCAAATGTATTCGTAAAGGTGTTTCACTTTCTTTATGAATACAGCACTAGAAAAATATTCACCATAAGTGTGGTACGATATGGAGCTCACCTAGTATAATGTCAAGTTTACACATGAAGTATATTGTACTAATAATCATGACAACCTCACAAGGATACACTGTACAGTGTATTAAAAAAAGCTGAATCATACATCATGTGATTCAGTTCTATGATCAAAGTAATGTTGAAGTGAATACCGGTAAATATAACACACTGACCATTAACTTCTGTGTCTTGTTTTTTTTATGGACATTCACTCATGTTACATGTTTGTTATGCTTACTTTGACAGATCAAAGGGAAGTAGCTTTCTTTGGCACTCTCATTTCAAATATCTCAGGAACTAGAATATTTTTGTAAAATATTTTCAAGAGGCGGTATGTCTGTTCCCAAAATAATTTATTGAAGGGTATTCTTTCTACTGACATACCCTCAGGCGACCATATTACAAAGTCACAAAAAGATTTTTCACCGATGGCCATTTGCATTTGCCATTGGAAATAATATTTATGATTCCTTTTCAATTTCAGTCTGCCATTTTCGAAAGTGCTGAAAAATGAATAGTATTGCTTCTTTGTAAGTTTTTCTTTTGCCTCAGTTGGATTAATGTTTTCAAGTACTGATGGGCACTTAATTTCTAAAACACCATCAGCCACATCTGTACTGAGAGACTGTAAGATGCCATCAGGGCTACATCCTAGTTCAGGATACTTCGAATTTATCCAGAAACCACTTGCAAGGCAGGTAAATGTTTCTACATATTTTAATGAATAGTCTTCAAAGGCTTTTTTTTCATTATGTGATCCATACCTCATGTCAACAGTATTAAAACAATCAATACCCCATACATGTGATGATAACAAGCGATATCTACCTCGATCTGTGGATACCATAGAACAGTCTTTACAAATAGATGCTGTCACTCTGTACCACCTGGCATTATGCCACTGATCAGAAATTGCTTGACCCACAGTACCAGGTACTTCACAAGGGCCAACTCCATACTCTGAAATACTTTCTTTCACATTTTCAATGAAAACATCACATTTATCCATGAGATATAACTTCAAGTCATTAGACAATTCATAATCATCATCAGTAATTTCTGGGATACTCTGCCATGAAGTATTTGTATCCAAGGCAAGTGCAGTAGAAATGAAAGCAGTTGCAAAACTACTGTCAGCTCTGTGAGACTGATCTACAACAGGACATGGGTCATGATCAATAACACGGTTAGGAGCTCTCTTTTTGCTGTACTGCAAAGTGTGGGCAGGTTGTGGGTTTCTAGTTTTGTTTCGGGGTTTATTCCAGGAACAAGAGAAAGAAGTACATGAGGGTGCTGTATAGCCAAAGTTGACAGTATAATCCTCTAATGCAAACAACGATCCTGCAATGTGGCTACAACGTCCAGTGGCTGAACCTACACAATCACATGATGCATCCTGGATGACTGCAAAATTATCAAGAGTAACATGTACATGGTACATCATACCTAGTCTGTATGATGGAAGACATTCACATTTAAGATAATAATACTCATTTTTAGAACACGTCTGAATATTTTGTATGTGGCCACTCTTAAAAAAAGCTCGTCCCTTCTTCATTGGCTTTGCAGTGCTGAAGGTGGTGTCCTGATCATCATCATCACTGTCATTGATAGGAGTGACTTGTGGTAGAGGCTGTAGTCTGGCTGATGCAATGATAAACTGGTATATATCGCCATATGAGAAGGTTGGTGGGATGTTGCCAGAAGGGAAGGCCTTCCATCCAGTGATAGGTGGTGTGGGAGGTTGCCTCACAGCCGAACACGGACTTGAACTGTAATACAAAGAGAAAATAGTGCAATACACAATCATGACACATGTATCTATTTGGCTATATAATTCATGCACCAGTGCAACATATTATTGTAACATGCAACCTAATATTGATGTCAAAATGCACTAAATGCATGTAAAATTCCAAATTTGTGTGTCTATAAGTCTAACCCTTGTGTATCCACACATCAATCTTGGATCACATTCAATACCTGTACAGTTTATTTACCATACTACATAACTAATCTGTGTTATTTGTAATTTGTCATGATTTCGTGGGCTTGACATTGTCACATTGTAGGTACTTCTAGATTGTGTGCAAATGTTCCTATTACGTTTCACAGCAATAATCAAAAAAAAAACAAGACACGGGCAGCAGACCAGCCTGTTTCAACTTTGATATATTTATTGGACCAGGGGACAAGCTGATTTTGTTTGGTGCAACTGGGTTTTCATGTCACCATGCACCTGGTGCAAGTATAATCAACTTCCTTAAAACCAAGCTATGTGACATTGTAATCACATATATGTGATGCAAGTATTATCTTTCTTAAGGGACCAATTATTTGATTTAATTTGCGGGTGGGGTGGGGTGGGTTCCTGGGATTTCATGACAGAAGACCCAAAGGATAGTGTATTCACAACACCCATATTAAGACATGAAGCTTTTGAAAATTAAAATATTACTAACAATTCTTTTTCAACCTGATGGAAAAATATTTTCGGATTCCTGTAAAAAATTCTTTTATGAGTTGATTAATTCAATTATTTAAGTGATTAATATAATTTTCTCAGAATAAATATGCTGTTAACAGTAATGGAAATTCCCTTACATTTTCTTTTTGGGTACTTTTTAAATGATGTTCCATTACAAATGTTGTTCACAATATTAAATCCATTTGACAAAAGTTAACAGAATTCAATGCCATTTCAAGCAAGAAATGGAAATGCATCAATAATATTTCAACCCATTCTTACGCAATCTTTGCATTTGGTCAAAGATAAAATCTGGAATTGAAACCTCATAGTTACCTGTTAAGAGATGTCAAAACATCTTGAACCTTTATTTGGTACCATTTCCCATTATCAATGGAAATGGCAAAATTTGTGTTCTGCTGAGCTGTGATGCACTCTTGACATCTGTGTGAAAACAATGGATAAACATCAGTTATGTTACAATTTCAGATATTGATAAATGAGTAGATGAATTCAGTTTCCAACCCCTGAGCTTACTAGTAAATGATTGCATGATTACTTTCCATCTATATTATTACTAGTAATATTAGTCCAATCACTTGAATCATTGTTATTGGGTAATCATGATAATAGGATCAAGGTTTTTGCAGAGTATATTAATATACATACTTTCTTTTTTTAAATAGCAATTTCATGAAGAATACTGACAAGATCAATCACCCCTTTACGATCATTAGGGTTAGGTACCCGTTTTATTTCGAAAATGCTGAAATGCTCTTACTCGTGACCTGAAGCAATGGTGTCATATACTGAACCAGTTGTCATTTTGAAGTAATAATTATGCATATAAGTAAATAAATTAATTGTATACTTATGTTCATATTAGCCCAAGTGTGTGAAGAAAAACACTACATAGAGATGAAAATGGCTATAAAGTTGTTTGGTAATTCAATTATATTTTCGCGTGGAAATTTTCGTTGTGTGGGATTATTTATGCCTTAAAAAAATCTGGAAAATAATAGTAATAATAATAACAACGTTTGCATGTGTAAACAGAATCATTGACACAGGTAGTATTGTGGCTGCCACACCAGGTTGTGGTCATCATGTGAGTATAAAAAAATAATATAGTAATTACCGGATTATAGCCCAAGCTGTTAGATTAGAACGGTCATGGACGTATTCAGTGTTCATGAAACGGTGAAAACTGGAACAGTTATTGCCCTTTTTCAGACGAACGTTTAGTGCCCGAATTCTCTCATCCAGGCAAATGTCATGCTGATAACGAATACGACAGATTTCTATTATTCCCACATACATTTATGGAGTTGAAACACACAAATGTATTTCAGTATTATCTGTTATTAGCATAAACAAATATTACGGAAATCACTTCCGGTTTGGATTTTGATATGACGTCTGTCTCGTAAATTATATGCACATCGGGTTAATCATCAGAGTACCGTAATACCATTGTGATAACAATCACGGCACGATACCTTTAACAAAGATATATATTTCATAGATTCTCATAACTTACATATACTATTTTTAACGAAAACCAATAAATAAGACGACTTACCTTTCGACGAGTTCGGTCTTCCTTCCTGTCATCGGCAGGCCTCGGCACTACAACCACCGTTTCAGCTGAACAACTGAATGTCTATCGACGTCTGGATAAATAAACTGAGCTCCAGGGACATCTTCAGGCAGCAGAGACACGTTAAACAAAGGCGATGTAGAAGCCATGTTAATACGGATGCGGGTAAACGTCAAAACATCTGTCAAATAGACGCGCGCGAAAAACTGCAATGTTTGTCCCTCGAAATATTATTGTGTATCACGTGACGCGTATGTGCACATAAACTGTGACGTAATCGATGAAATGGCTTAACAGCTTAAATTGATTTCAGTAATATTCTGAAGACAACCCAATCAGGATTTGTTGAATCACAGCATATTGGGATGGTGACAATGAATAGTAGGGGTGGTATTGAGGTTATGATAAAACCTTCAGGCAGCATTGGCACTATTGAGGAATGGTCTACATGCTTCCTTATTTACATGAGCGTTTATCTGGAAAGATTCCCAGAAAAGCACCAACAGTTGATTAAGTATATGCATACCATTAGGTGGGCAGCACAAAAATATGATGGGATGGGTTGGAGATCATATTATCAACATTTTAGAATTAGACAGGCACGTGATCCAAGCAATTCATTGGCAAGAATCTATCCAGATTATTGGCTGATGTTCATGAACACCCACTCCAAACAGAGTGTGCAGACTAGATCACCCCAGTCCAACATGCAGGGCCGACGCCAATCGCCATGTTACGATTACAACTACCGGAGCTGTAACAGACAAAATTGCAAGTATTCCCATTCTTGTATTCAGTGTACCAAACTTCATCCCATGAAATCCTGCAGATTTCGAACAAACCAAAATAAGCCAAAAGTTTCAGCTTCCCAGTAAAGGTTTCTCACCCGTTATGACTAGTGTATTGAGAAGTTTGCTCGAAAGGTATCCGGATCAGGCAGCGGCAGCAGAATTAATAGAAGGTGTTACACAAGGTTTTGTTTTGAACTACGGTTCGCAAGGAAACAGAATCTCCTAACCTAAAATCTGCAGAAGAAAACACTTATGTCACTCATGATAAACTTGATAAAGAAATAAAAGCAGGGAGAATGTTAGGTCCATACCAGTATCGACCAATACCTAATCTCAGGATATCACCGATAGGTATTGTACCTAAAAAAGAACCAGGTCCGTTTCGAATAATACACCATTCATCCTATCCGATAGGCTCATCAGTTAATGATCACATTGAGGATAAGTCAGCATCAGTGAAATATTCTAGTTTTGACAGTGCAGTTGAAATGGTTCAAACTTTAGGTAAAGGCTGCCAGTTAGCAAAGTCTGACATAAAGAGCGCTTTTACACTTTGTCCTATAAATCATTCAGACTTTAATATCTGTTAGGAATAAAATTCAAGCAACAGTATTATGTGGATATGTGTCTACCCATGGGATGCAAGGTACGTTGTGCTCTCTTTGAAAAGTTTGCATCTTTTCTTCAATGGGCTGTCCAACAATCAATACAAGCTGGAGATGTTTACATTACCTGGATCACTTTCTTTTTGGAGGTGAGATGAATACAGTAGTATAGGTAATAGGGGTTCTGCCGCAACTCCACTGGAGCCAGATTTATATACCTATACCACCACTACAGAGGGAATTTTTTTATGCAAAAATGACTATGCAATTCAACGATTGTCATGAGATTGAGTTAAATTGACTCTAGCTCACCACCACCTGGAGTCTATGATATAAATTTTTATAGGTAATGGGGGTTCTGCCGCAACTCCACTGGAACCGGATTTATATACCTACTACAGGTGGCATTTTTTATGCAAAAATGATTATGCGATTCAACGATAGTCATGAGATTAAGTTAAATTGGCTCCAGCTCACCAATACCTGGGGCCAATCAATGTTGTCATTAGTTCAGATGAGCCTAAATGGTAATGAAAATATTCTTTATTATTTTTATCAATAAAGCGATATTCAACATTTTTATTAAGTTCTTCGTTCATTTTACTAGGAGACCAGACTATATAACTACACTCTTCTTGGAAATTGATAAGAAACAATTGATAACCGTATTTGGTTGGTTTGACATCACTGATATAAAAAAAACCTTGTGGTAATTCTCTCCATTTAATAGCTTTTTCGATTGTTGGGTTGTAATTCTCCAGTATTATATATATTTATGTAAGCATTTGTCTAAATGTGATCTAACGATAGTAAGCAATCTATTTTTAATCTCCAACCAGTTCTTTGGTTTTGGCACGGAATAATTGACGCGCTTGTTGCCTCCCCTGTTCTATGAACTTTTTTTCTCGTCTTCGCTAATACCACTGGTCTTACGATATTTTGATCGAATCTCATGCTTCATTACGTTGTATTTGGTGAGTTCCGACAGCACTAAACGAAACTCACCCTCGGATATCTTACAATCGGCCATTGCTGTCGAAATCTGATCCTCAGTGCTGTTCAACTTTGCTTTGGCGAGTATCCGAATCTTATCGTGTTTTAATGCTTTCTTTTGCAACCTATGAGAAATGAATTTTATCACTATTCCTGCCAGTCCCGAGACTCCGGCCGCTATTTCCATGCCGAGCACGATAGGCGCGGCGATTATAGTTGATAATAAACTAACACCTGCTACACCGAGTCCCATGCCAGCTGCTACAAGCGCGGTGTCAACTCCGTCCAGAGCATTCACGGCTCTGTGATACTTTTTATACAATCCAAGTCTCAACTCCCTCTCCTTCTCTATTCGATGTTTTATGTCACTTATTTGATGTAATCGAAATCCATCAACAGTATCCATCTTTTCAAATGCTTCATCGAGCGCTGGATATAAACCCATAGTGTATATTACGATCATATAATAGTCTTTAATTGGTCTTGCTTAAATGTTTTGAGAGTATACATCAACCTTATCAAATGAATATTATACAGCAAGAATATCTTAGTAAGAGAAATGCTGTCACTTTTAATAATTTGGCCCCCCTCGAGGGTTGCAACGGGTAATGCTCCGATATGAATAATACTGCAACGTTGACGCTCGTGTTTCTTTTGCCATTTAATCGATAGACCTGGTAATTTTTCGAAGGCATTTTCCGGTGCATCTCCAAAAAAGACTTCAATAATAAGAGTAGAAATATTAGGTATTGCACTCAAGTTAACTTTAATATCATTGAATTCAGTAACCAAATTTAAACTAACATTTTTTACGGCCGGACGACTTAAAAACATATGACCTGGGTCCTCTGGCAGGGGAGAGACTAACACGCTTTTTCGTTTTGATGGGATATAAGCCGCGAGTACGATGCCACTATTTATTATCTTAGTTAAATTATGTGCCTTACCCATCATTGCATACGGTGGGGTAATGACGATATTCAATAGCCACTCGATTTTTGCGTCAACCATAGTCCATTTTTTATCTTCATTGCGAGTAATATTGTACGAAGTGTTTTTAAGGAGTCTACTAACGTCAACATCGCTTAAATCTTCTTGATTACCCGTGTATGTAACTTCTTTCCGCTTGTATACATTATCTTGTAAGTGTAAAGGGTATAACTTACCATCGGTACCGGGTCTACCGAATCCTTCTATGTCTCCGAGATCGGAAAGCGCAATTGTATTACATTGTCTGAGCGTTCCAGGGCCTGATGAATCAACCATTATTTATAATATGGAGTGTTACACTTAAGTATCCTATATGTACAGGTTGGTGTTTTACATCTAATATAGAAATTTTGAGGTCTGAAATAATACCACGCTTCAATTTTTTATATTGTAATGATGAGCAAGATTCCGTTCTACCGCTATTATATTTTTCATTTTTCACTGGAATAGATCTGAGTAGAGTTGAAGGACTTTCTAGTTGAATATTATCCGTCGTGCTTATTTGATCAAGATGGATGCACAACTCTTTATTGGGAGCTAAATCGGGTAATCTAGGTCCCTGTGCTGATGCATCGATTACTGTTATTTCTCCTCTCCATCCAATTGTAAATCCTAATCTCGTTAAAATCTTTACACCCTTTTTTCCAGCGCTTAAATTCACTGTCCCATTCGACTCATTTTGTGTGAGACTAATTCCATTAGGCTTAAAAATTTCATCATTGAGTGAGCATATACTGTAATACCCATCAGGTATAATAATGGGTTTGTCAATAACATTGTAGTCGTTTTCATCTAATATATATACCTCATTATTACCTCTTGCATCACTTATATTGGTCCACCGTGGGTAATACGTTACATCGCACAGAGCTACTTCGAGCTGACCAGCCGAGTTATCGATAGTATGAAGCAGTTGAATAGACTGACCATTTGTTATTCCCGGGAGTGTAACATACATATTAAATATACAATGATACTATATCATAACTTAAATATGAAATCGAGATACATTACTAATCAGTCGATTATAGTAACTGCCTCTGGTGCTGAATTTTTTGTTAAATTCCCTGATATCTTTGAAAAGTACAGGGTCACAGCAACTAGCGATAAAATGGTGCACGATTGGTTTCACAATCCGATGCAATTTTGGCAGAATCAGTTAAACTTTGCCATATGGTGTGCCACAACAGGATGTGGCGTATCTCTTTATTCCCCAGGATTTTAACTAAATAAGTCTGTTTTATCATTTCACGTGTACTATCAGATTAGTCGTATACTTAAAGAAATTAATGCTCAATTACTACATGATCGAGCATGGAATGCATCAAATAATCTGTACAATAGGTTCGCGTATGAGCGTATTTGTCAGGAATTTAATATTTCTACGAGTAAAGATTGGCGTATTAAAGGAATTAACAATGGTCTAGGTGTTCCTTACACAGGGGAAATAACCGTCAAAGAAGAAAGCGATGATTTATTTAAAGAAGTTAACAAAGGTCAATTTAATGAATACCAGCAAACTTTACTCAAGAATGTTTGATTATTTTGCAAAAACCCATCATTGGTATAAAGACTGGTAACTTTCGAGTAACGATTGGAGAGGGGATATTACCGGTATGAGTTTTAAGAGTGGTTTAATTTATATTGTTACAAAATTTTTACAACTGAACGATACCGCAAAGGCTTGGTTAATGATAAAACGGAAAATAATTTTACTAACCCAGGATTTGTAAGAGTTAATGAATCGATAAGAACTTATGTATGGGCAATTCTCGGTGCACAATCGCAAACACGAACGTCCATTATTGGTTCTGGGACGGCGCTCGATGCGCAAAAACAGTTTGTCGCAAACGTGGAGAATGCTATTAATTCACCAGTTGACATACCATCGTCTATAAAGCGTTTTCAAGATGTATTACAGTACGCTCAATCCAAAGTGGACTACGTTTATGCACCGGGACTATACATGTCTCCGAGTAATATGGAACTTAAGATCGGTCAAGTGATAGGTTATAATATTAAATTGTTATTGCTACCGATCAACAAAAACCAGGTATAAATTCAGATATTAACGTCGAATTAATAACGCAAACAATCACAGGCGAAACGGGAATAGTCAAGCCACAGTTATCTACTATCACTAAAACATCTACTGACACACAACCACAAGTGTCACCGCATATTGCGGCTAAAAATCAACAACATATCGATGAAAAAACAGCGCTTGTATTAGGTGGAGTCACGTCTGGTTTAATCATGATTTGTTTAAATAGTCTTTAGCGGATACGTACAACAGCCCTGCAATTGCTACGATCAACCCCCACAAGTTTTGACTAAGCCAAGTGGTGGTTTTAGCTAATAAATTCAAGAGCCAGGAAACAACACTCCCTATTATACCGGGAAGTGCGGCCGCGGCTTTCTCAGCGAGCTTTCCCAGTGCGGAACCTAATGCTTTTAAATGCTTTTTTATCCACTCTTTTATACCATCCGACCTAGGCGGTGATCCGCCACTACCACCTGTACCGCCACCGGTATAATAAATCCCAACGCGGTTAAAATACTGGCAATTGTTATTCCCTGTTCTCTGAACAATATTTTAATTTTATCGGCCAGTGTAGTGTCATCGTTGAGGACTTGATCAATAGTTTCTCGAATTCGACTGATTTGTGAACGAAGTGCCTTTCTATTACTGGAAGCGACCGCCTCCGTGGTCTTGTGGTAGAGCGTCCGCCCGGAGAGCGGAAGGTCCAGGGTTCGATCCCGGGCCGCGTCATACAAAAAGACGTTAAAAGATTGTACTTGTTGTTACCCTGTCTGGCGCTCGGCATTAAGGGGCTAAAACAAGGACTGGTCGGCTCAGAGTCAGTATACTGTGTCTGAGTGGGGTATTCATGTTAAACTGCGGCATGGTATCTCAGTGAGCTAGCACTATAAATCGGCATCAGTCCGGACTAGTACAAGCAGCCACACACACACATACACGTGCATGCACGTCGCTATATAAGTGCAATAATCTTGGACGCGACGTTAAA